ACGGTTTTAGATTGTGTGTGTGTGTGTGTGTGTGTGTGTGTGTGTGTGTAAGGATAGTATTCAAAAAATACACCAATCCAAATGACAATGGTCTAATCAACTGTTTTATGATAATGGTAGGTATAAAATTTTAGTAACGATTTAATATGACTACTCAATATGGCATTGTTATAAACTTGGTAAAATGAAAACTAATAGGAAAAACGATCTATAGAGCTATAGGGGCCTGGGTTCAAATCCTTTCTCCTCCACTGACCATCTGTAGGGTGGGGCTCACTAAGTAAGCCTCTGCTCCCAGCTTATGTGTCTGTATTGATTGTGGCCGTCCCTTCTCTCAGGTTATGATGGCGATGAGTAAGTCCAGCTACCACATCGTTACAAGAATAAGCAGGTACTTGGGACTGGCAGGTGGCATGATGGTTAAGGGCACTGGACTCAAAAATGGTTGACGGTGGTTCGAGTCCCATACCTAGTGGGTTGTTTTCTCACTCCCTCCCAACTCTGTCCCTCTCTGGTCAAATTTAAATAAATAAAGTTTTAAAAAAAATCATTAAAAAAGATAAGAAAAAGCGGGTACTTAGAATAGCAGTTGGCACACAATAAGAATTCAACAAATGACATCTGTTACTTTTCTATCACTGAAATTTATATATTCAAAGGTGAACAGAACCACCAAAGTGAGAAAAGGCCTGGCTAAAGTGGGAGGGTCCAGTCACTTGATCAGAAAGGGACTTTAGAAATCTCAAGTCTATCCAACCCTCTGTAAGTCAGTGAGTCGAGCCTTCTATTAGACAGGTGCAATGAGAAGTCAGAGGTTCACAGTTTCCCTTAGTTTCTCTTCTTTAGCCTTCACCAAAAGTGACGCCTCTTGTTTCATCTTCACTGGAAACTGAATATATTGACTTATCTCTTACTTTTCTTACTCTAAATGGTTGCACCTTGTTTAAAGGTTCCCTTTTCAAGCTATCCAGTTAAAATAGTAGCCTCCATCTGAAAGGCTGGAGATTTGGAATCATCGCTAAGCCTAGAGCATGGATAGTCAGGCAGAAGCTAAGGAGATGAAGAGTCAGATTCAGGAGAGAGTTTCAAATGCCCGCCTGGTGCACTCAGGGAGGTCTCTGGACCTGAACCAGCAACCTTCCCACGTGGGCTGCCTTGCAGAGTGTCACTGCACCACTGTCTACCCCAGCCCATACTAGCTAGTTTCATTCACCTTAAAATATTACTATTAAAGCACAATAAAAAGACAGTAAGACTTGGGAGTCAGATGGGCCTGACTTAAATCAGCTGAGAGGCCGTACCCAAGTGATATAATCTCACTGTGTCTCAGTTTCCTCATCAGTAAAACACAGATGATGCCTTTGTTTTACATACCTCATAAGTTATTGACAAATAATGCACTTAAGCACTGTTTGGTAATGTTAGCTGTTATTTACAGTCTAATATTATCTTTGATTTTCATTTATCACCTGCTGCTGCCTACTCTGCCTTGTCTCAATCTCAAATTTGGTTCCTTGTGGTTCTCTCTCCTTGGCTTTTTTCTTTTCTTTTTTTTTTTTTTTCCACAGAGGACACATGTGCTTGCCAGAGAGAGACAGAGAGAGAGGGAAACGAGGAAGCACTGCCTCTGGATAGGGTCACACTGCAGTCCCTTCTCCTCCGTCTCTCCACTGTTTGGGACTGGGGCCTGCATGCACACGTGCTAGCATGTTTTTCAGGCCACTTGGTCTGGGACTCAAACTGCACAGTCGGCCATGTGGGATCTGGACACCTTAGCTACCAGGCCGCAGGATCAGCCTTGGCTACTTTAAAGTACATGAATTTATAACGCTGTATCATTGAATTCTCTTCAGTTATATACCCTCCCTTCGTGTCATCTGCTCAGTGTCCTCACTGGCTTTCTAAGATTCTATCACTGTCTCCAATTTCCACAGCTCAGATCATTTCACTTTATTCCTTTATTTTGTGCAGTGTTTTCGTTCTTCATTTCATAGAATTACCATTGATAAAAGCAAGGAAATATAAAGCCCTCTCTTGAAGCCACAATAATGAAATGCTCTGACTCCCGTGTGTTTGTAACCCTAAGACGACAACCGAGGTCTGAGTGCTCAGTGTGCCCGTCAGCAGCACGCTCTCGCTGCCCACATTTCCCTCCAGAGTGGGAGGGAAGTGACTGCTCTGAGCACTCCCTCTTTACTCCAACCATAACTTTGTTAAGAAACAGAAAGAAAAGGAAGAAAACCGAAGTCACTTCTACGGTGGTGAATTATAGGGGTGGAGGGAAGAGAAGGTAGAGAAATCCCAGTAGCCTACAGAAAAATGCAGCCACAGCAGCAGACAAGAACTGCTGGACCCTCACTCGAGCCCTGGAGAGTGCGAAACGAAAGCCCTGGGGCCATTTCTCATGACTTCACATCTCAAATATATGTGCCAGTCGGTTTCTAACGACTAAAACATCTAAACACAGTCCCCATGAAAACTCCTCTGTCTCTACTTGCTTTCAGAGTACTTTCCCAACTATTGTTTACTGAGTGTTTGCTATGCTCCCGGAAATACAAAGACATCTCATTTAATTCTAACCACTTACACAGACGTGGTGGAGTGTGAGCTGGCATTGCCCGTGGGGTTTGTTCTTGAACTCACCACGCTCAGGACCTCCTGCTTTTCTCCCTAGAGCATCACCGCCTGGACTGCTAGGGAAGCCGCAGCGACCACGGCAGAGGCCCAGTCCCTCCCTCCTCAGTGCCCTTGGCAAGCAGAGGAAACGTTTCCCAGCGCGGAGAGGAAGGCGTAGCTGTGCCGTGGCAGGGAGTTATCACTAGGGCAAGTCCAGCTCGGGGCAATTGCAGAAACTCCATCTGAGCTTTGGGACTCCGAGAGCAGAAGTGATCTGTGCCCCTTTCAAGAGTAGAAGCAGGGTATGGACGAGGGTCCAGTCTGGCCCTGGCATTTTCTCAAATGGGGAAGAGGAGAGATGGCTGCCAGGTAAGGCTAGGAAGACAGGCCAGCAACAACCGTGCAGAGTAGTGGGTGAGCTCCCAAGGGCCCCAGTGTTTCTTTAGTTTAGAGGAAAACGTTAGAAACTGTTTCCAAGGACTTGACATTCTAGAGATGTATGAGGAGCAGGAAGCATGCTTCTGAGAATGGTCTGGCTAGGTGGCTGTGGCCTTGTGGTCGTGGGGAGCATTTGAGAGCTGAGAACCTTGTGTGTGATTAACAAACAAACAGCAGGAAAAAGAAGACCTGGAACTAAGTTTTCATACTGCTCAGGACAACTCCATATTGTGGCAGAGTAAGGGACTAAATTTTAGGGTTTTTTGTTTGTCTGTTTGTTTGTTTTAGGTTTTTGCCATAGGGTACATGTGCTCTCCAGAGAGAAACAGAAGAAAAGTGAGAAATCACCCCCTGGGGGGATGGCCACACCGCAATCCCTTCTCCTCCATTCTCCTCTCTGGATTTAGGCACGCATGCACACGTGTCTGGCGTGAACTTTAAGCTGCCGGGTCCAGGACTTAAATTACAGTCGGCCATGTGGGAATCCAGTGGTTAAATTCACCATGCCACCTCCTGGCCCTTAAACTTGTTATCTTATTTGTCTTTCTGTGTTCTATCTTCAAAACGATGAATAAAAAAAGATTTGAGGTTTACATACTAACTAAAAGAGATAATACATTTTCTATCCCTTTTTCTATCAGGAAAAAAAAATGTTGCCCTCTTGTCAAAAGTCCAGATAAAAATATATAATTTAAGAATATAAAATAGCATTTAATTCAGATAAAAATTGTCAAGATTTTTTTTCATTTTTTGTGTAAGTGACATTTCTAACTACCATTACAATATTTAAATTTTGGAATTCCCTTAATAAATATAATGAGAATTGCATTACTCCTTTAAGACTATTCTAGTCAACATTAATTTTAAGCAATTATAGATTAAAATTGCAGTTTATGAAGTCATTTGGTAACTTATAGCATCAAACCCAACAACAACAACATAATAATAATTCATTTCCAATTAAAGAGGATTAGATAGTTTGCATTTTCCAATCATGGAAGATTTTTAATTGGTTAGCAAAATTATTGCTGCTAGTTTTGCTCTAGTAATGGAAATAGAGTTGATTTGTTAAGTGATCACTACTTAAGACTATCTATTGTGGGACTGGCAGGTAGCATGGTGGTTAAGGGCCTTGGACTCCCACACAGCCGACCGTGGTTCAAGTTCCAGACCTGCTGGCAGCTCTCTCTCTCTCTCTCCCCTTCTCTGATCAAACTGAAAAATAAATAAAATAGGGGAACCAGCAGTTAGCGTAATGGCTATGTCGCTGGACTCCCACGTAGTCGACCGCGGTTCGCATCCCGGACCCGGTGGCTTAAAACTCACGCCGGGCACGTGTGCGTGCGTGCCCAAGATCCCGAGAGGAGAATGGAGGAGAAGGGATTGCAGCGTGACCATCCCCCCTGGGGGGTGATTTCTCGCTTTCTGTCTCTATGTCTCTCTCTGTCTGTCTGGTGGGTGCACGCGCCCTACAGTGAAAATCTCTCAAAAATAAATAAATAAATAAATAAATAAATAAATAAATAAATAAATAAAATAACATTAGTTTTTAAAAAGACTATCTACTATATGCTTATCCTCAGGTCCAAATACAAGGCTCTCCTCATGAAAAATTAAAAGGCTTGTGCATGGGTGTACCTTCTTAAAGAACTCCTGGTATTTCCGTAATCAGACATATGCTCAGTACTGCTTTAATTATGCTCTTCCACAGTATTTTAGTAAGATCCATCCTAAACATACTTGCGAACAATAACACACATCAGTCTTTAACAAAATACACATAAATGTCACCTCTCCTCATCAAATGTGACCCAAAAAGTACCATGCTTGAAAGCCAAAGGGCTTTTGAGATATTTCAATAATCTTCAAGAAATCAATCTTACATGAAACTGAAGGAAAACATCGAATGTCATTGAGCAATAAAGCTCCGTCTGTCAGTGCCCTACCTCTGAGCAGAAGCCTTGGGATGTTTCTCTTCCAGTTTCCTCACCAGTGCCACTGTCAGCTGCCCTGTCTCCTCAAGAGAACCTTCCGGCGTTATATGAGTGTCTGAGGGTTCTGGCAGTTGCTTCAGACCAGAGTTGCTGGCACTTTTTTGCAGAACCTAATAAACAAAATATAGGACTAATGTAGCTAATCTTCATTTTGTGGAAACATCCAAATTCTACATGCCAAAAATATAACATAGCTGGTTAAGGGCCTTCAGTCTGTACAGCATGTCGTCAGTCTGTACAGCATGTAAAAATCATTTGTCTGCAGCCAGAATGAAAGGAGGCCGTCCTAAAATAAAGCTAGTATATTAGCATCTATTTAAGTAAGTAATGTTTATATAAAGAGATAGAAATGGTCAAGAAAACACAAATATGCATGCAGACATTATATTATGTGTATGATTTTAAACAATCAGTAGCATTAAGATGTGAATTTTTGCTAGCCTACTGGAAACAACTTGAACATTTTCTCTTTCAAAATACACTTTCGAGATCTATTTTTGTCTTGCCTCTGGCTCAGTCACTGACCTCTTCTGTTACGTTTCTGCCACGTTCCTGATGAGCTGTGGTCCAGGCACTGTGGTGACTGTGACACTCTCTCTGGGTCACATCCACTTGTGCATTTAGCTCCTCTAGGTAGGTCAGAACGAACCAAGGGTAAGCCTATAAGAGGAAAAGATAAAAAGTGGTGCCAGCCTTGTAAGCAAGAGCCAAAAATGCAGCCTAGGGGAGGATAAATTAGATGAATAGCAAAAAGGTCTGGCTAATGCACTGTGCACTTCACTATCAATTTCCGGTCAAAATTAAGTGAAATTACTTTAAGTCTCCACTTAATATATACCGAGTGTCTACACTCTACGACTGAAACTGATTGACTAAAGGATATAGAAACACAATAAATGGATGTGAATAGCAGATATAGTGTGTGTGAAAGAGCAGGGTCTGAGGAAGGACATTTAGAAGAAAAATAGAGAGGCAAAGCATTAATGGGACAAAGAAATGTGATATTATCTGTTGAAGATAATTTTATAAGTTTATCAACTGGACTAGGGAGAAATGTTCACATGTTGAAATATTCACTTTGTAAGCTAAATAACGTGATTGAACGTACAAAAGAAAATGAAATTTAAATTTTTTTTAAAAAATTTCTAATTACTTGTTTAATCTGATCAAGTTTAGCTAGATAACTAATATTCACCCTTAGGTACAATTAAAATATTAAAGTTGTGTTGATAATTACCATTTACTGGGTTGTTTCTACTGAGTTCTTGAAAAAGTCATGATGTATTTTTGCATAGAAAGAGTACATTAGGACTTTCCCGACAACCCAGGGCATACAGGTAACATGGAGTGGCTGTAACACTTGGGAGCGTTTAGTTCTGCTCTGGAAGACAAGGGTGCAAATGGGGTGGACAAAAGGCTGCCTTACAAAGACAGAACAGTAACCTGCGAAATGTCAGAGGGAGTGAGGAGAGTACATGCCAATGGGCATGGATGGATAGGGATAGGAGGGTAAAATAGACAGTCGGTACTTATGATTTACTAAAAAACAAACCAAACAACACATATCTGTGTACACTAAATATAAATGAAGCACCTGCAGCACACAGGAATCAGGAGGCTTTTAAGGAGTGCTGGGAGCTGCTGCTCTACAGTCCATGGCCTGGGAAGCAAGCTCTCAGTCACGACTGCTCAGATGAAAGTGAGTGTCACTGGGACCAGCAGGTGGTGTAATGGCTATGTCGCTGGACTCCCATGTAGTTGACCGCAAGTCGAGTCCTGGACCTGGTGGCTTAAACTCATGCCCGGTGTGTGTGCATGCATGCCCAAAATCCCACAATGAGAATGGAGGAGAAGGGATTGTGGTGTATCCATCCCCCCTGGAGGTGGGGTAGTTTCTCGCTTTCTGTCTCACTCTATCTCTATCTCTCCTGTGAGTGCGCACACCCTATAGCAAAAATCTCTAAAAAAAAAAAAAAAAAGAAAGAAAGAAAGAAAAGAAAGTGAGTGTTGCACACCAACGCTTTCTAGCCCATGGGGACCCCCTTGCTCAAATTCCAATTCTGGTCCTTGTAACCGTACTGTCAACATGGAAAGGATGTGTAAATACTGCACAGGATTCAGGTACAGGAATTTGACCCTACACACCACGTGTACCTTGTCTTACATATGTTAAACTAGCCCATCTGTCCTCCATGCATGTTGCTCTGTGTTTTAAGTTGATTTTGTAAATCATGAATTGAGCATTTTAATTTATTCTGTTTAATTTCTGTTCCATGAGCTCTAGAATATCTTTCCAAGTAATGTGAAGGGTCTTCAAAACATCCATGGAAAACGCATATTTCTCACATGATGGTATTTTTACACTTTTTTCCTTGCAAAAGCTCTTTAAATAGATACTATAATTGCACCTGCGTTAAAGATGAGGAAACAGAGACAGGGAAGTTAAGCAATGTGCTTAGTGTTATCGATTTGTTTACTTGTCCACAAAGCCCAGATACGTCATCTCAATTATGACACAAATTCCTTTTTGTATTCCTTAAAGTTAAAAAAAATAAATAACCAGGGACTATTCACTTGATAAGGCACTAAGACTTTTAGATTCTAGAAAAAGACAGTGATTTTTATCATTGTAAGAAAATGCATAAATGAATGTATAAATGTATGCTAGAGCAATTTAGAGCCTTAAACGCATACTGCCAAGTGTAAGGAGTCAATCTGGAAAAGCCACATTTTATACAACTCCAACTCTGTGACATTCTGGAAAAAGCCAATATAGAGACAGTAAAAAGATCAGTGGTTGTCAGGGTTAAGTGGGAGGGATGGATGAACAAGTAGAGGACAATAAACTTGTAGGTCAATTAACCAGTTCCACGTGATACTACAATATAATGGTGGACACATTTTCTTATGCCTTTGTTCAAAACCTAGCACATAGCCCGTACATTGGGTGCGAATCCTAATGTAAGCTATGGACTTTGAGTAATAACGATGTGTCTGGCAGGTTCATCAGTCGTAATGAATGTTCCATTCTGGTGCAGAAGGCACACAGTGGGGGAGGCTGTGCCTTTGTGGGGGCAGGGAATATATGGAAACTGTCTGTACTTTACATTCAATTCTGTGAACTGAACACTACTCTAAAAAATTAGGGTTTGTTTGCTTTTTGTGTTGGAGGGTACATGGGCATGCCAGAAAGAGACAGAAAGAGGGAGAGGAGAAATTATTCCCATGAAGCATGGTCATGTCACAATCCCTTTGCCTTCATCCTTCCATCCTGTTAGGATTTTAGGCATGCATGCACATGTCCCAGTGGTTTTGCAACCCACTGTGGCCAGGACTCGAACTTCTCAACTATCTATGAGTATCCATCCAGCTGCCTTAACCACCAGGTCACAGGCATCCTGGGTTTGGGGGGTTTTATTGTTTTTTTGTTTGTTTGTTGTTTGTTTGTTCTTTAGTTTATTTATTTGTTTCCTGAGAGAGAGGGAGGTACCTTCAAACAGGGTCTTAGCTCTGCAGTGCTAGCTGGAGCCATGCCACCTCCAAGACCTCAGGTGCAGCCACAGCACACCAGTGTGCAGAGGCAGATCTGGGACACGAACCTGAAGCCTTCTCACACAGTCTCTGGCCTTATATATGCAGCCCCCACCACCTGCACCACCAAGGCGGGCCCAGTTAAAGTCTACTTGCCACAAATATGAAGGAATCCACAAAATAAAAAAGTGAGAAGGAAAATAGATAAATTGTTCTATGTCAAATTGAAAATTTGGGAGTTGCAAACAATGCCATCAAGAAAGTGAAAAGGGTGGACTCCATAGCACAGTGGTTAGTTAAGTACCATAAAAAGGAAGCCAAATTTATAGGGCCCCCCAGGATTCAAGTCCCAGTCCCAGTAGCTTGGAAAACACACTAGGGGTATGTTTGTGTGCCCGTGAACCTGACAGAATGGAAAACTGGAGGAAAAAGGATTGCAGCAGCCACCTCTACTGGGGGGTTCTCTCTCTCTCTCTCTCTTTCCCACTTGTGCATATGCATTCAAAAACAAATTTAAGAAAAGAAAAAAAAGACTTGAAACAACTGGCAGGTGACAGTGCAGTGGTGACACGATACTCCGTGAGACTGGGTTGCACAAACGTGGGCGCACAGTTGCGTTTTCCTGAGCCACCGGCTGGGTGCATGCCTGTGATCAGGATCTGGCTGAAGCTGGAGGTAGACTGTAGTGTGAAGACCGAAGACCGTTTTGGGGGCATCTGTCTGCCTGTCGGTCTCTCTCTCTTTCTGTCTCTCATGGAAGAAAGAAATAATAAACTTTTTTCTTTCTTTTTCTTTTTTATTTATTTATTTTTTTTTGGAGAGAGAGGTTTCTGCTATGGGGCGTGTTCACTTACCAGACAGACAGAAAGACAGGAAGTGAGAAATCACCCCAGGAGGGATGGCCACATCACAATCCCTTCTCCATTCTCCTCTCAGGATCTTACGCACACTTGCACATGCTCTTGGAGTGAGTTTGAAATCACTGGGTCTGGGACTCGAACCACCATCAACTACATGGGAGTCCAGCAATGTAATTATCATACCATCTGCTGGTCCTAAATAATGAACTTTTTTAAAAGTTTAAAGAATCTACAGGCTAGGGGGAACCAGCAGTTAGCGTAATGGCTATGTTGCTGGACTCCCACGTAGTTGACCGCGGTTTGCGTCCCGGACCCAGTGGCTTAAAACTCACGCCGGGCATGTGTGCATGCGTGCCCAAGATCCCAGAGGAGAATGGAGGAGAAGGGATTGCAGCGTGACCATCCCCTCTGGGGGTTGATTTCTCGTTTTCTGTCTCTGTCTCTCTCTGTCTGTCTGGCAAGCGCACGCGCCCTACAGTGAAAATATCTCCAAAAAAAAAAAAAAATCTACAGGGTAAGAGAAAATACTTTCAAGTCATATGTGTGATGAGGACTGTGTATCCAAAATATATAAAGAAATCTTACACTCAATAGTAAAAAGTCAAATATCCCAATTAAAACACAAAGAATCTGAGTCTATAGGCATTTCTCCAAGATATGCAAATGACCAAAAAGCACAAGAAAAGATGTTCGACATCACTAGTCATTAACAAAAGTATAGATCCAAACTTCAATGAGATAATACTTTACACCCACTAAGATGTTTATAATCAAAATGACTGAAAATAAAAGGAGCCGGCAAGGATAAAGAGAAGTCAAAACCCTCTTATGCTGATGTTAAGAATGAAAAATGGAGACCAATGTGTGGCCTAGTAGTTAATAAGCAAAATAAATAGCAGACATATTTTAAAACAGTAAGGTCCAAGAGCATGGTGTTCCAAATTCTGACCATTGCAAACCCCTTATATTCTGATGGTAGTTTCCCACTTTTACATAAGATTATTTCTAAGGAACATTTCTCTAATATTGGAAAGACGGTATACCGGGCACATGGGACACTCCGACACTGGATAGCCAATGAAACGAATGAGTAAGCGCCCCACAGGTCACGCCATGATATGGCTGAACTTCGTGCCAGGAAACACAGAAGCAAAGGCCCTAGATATAAAAGTCACAGAAAGCAGCATGGGCTTTGCTTCCTGGTTTGACAGTTTAGCAAAAGGGACACAAATAAAAACCAACCATCACAAACTATAAACACGAAGTGAC